GCTTAGTATTAGTTATCATTTGAAAGAAGCCAGGTACAAAAGAATATATATTGTATTTACATTAAGTTTCAAAGCAGGCAAAACTAATCTCTGACATTGAAAGTCAAGGTAGAGGTGATTTGGCGGCAGGAGTGGAAAGTGGCTGAGAGATGCCATAATGGCTCTGATAGTGATTTGTTTCTTGTTCGGAGTGTTGATTACATGAGGATGTTCACTTCGTGATAATTCATTCTTGAGCTCTGCACTTAAGATTTATACCCTTTGTACTTCAAAAAGTTTCAAAAGTCAGCTGTCATCATCAACAACATTCATCATCAACATGATCTGTAACTCTGTATTTATTTGCAGAACTGTTTACTTGAGGAGAGGCTCCATGAGGGAAAGAACCAAATCTATTCACTGTGTATCTCATACCTCATAGTACCTGAAACAGAACATGACATAAGTCATATCCCTCTTCTATTCAAAGCCATCAGTGACTTCCCATTTCATTCAGACTAAACGTCAAAGATCTCACAAGAGACCACAAGTCCTTAGCGGATCTAAATACCCACTATCTCTCTGAGTTCATCCTTACTGTTTCTGTCACACTCAGGACTTGCCAGACACATTGGAACTAGGTGGAGTTGGTAGTTTTGCGACATTGTGGAGGTACTAAATATCAATGAAGGATTCCCTTTTAAGTAGTTAATTTTATGTAAATTTCACCTCAACTAAAAAAAAAAGTCAGTGCTCTAAAACTAGACTGAGTTCAAATTCTGGCTCTGTCACTTCGTTGTGTAATTTCTGACATGTCGCTCCACATTTCTGTATCTCCACTTCCTCACCAGTAACATTTGCAGAAGAGGAGTACTTACCTTCCAAGGTTGCTCTCAGTATTAAGTATGTTACTACTACAAACAGAGCCTAGCGTATAGAATAAGCACAAACTGAATAGAAACAATAAATATTATTTTAAGAAAAAGGTTATTTCTCTATAACCAAAAGGGAAGAGAGATGAGTTTTGAGCCCTTCCTTTCTAAAAATAGTTTTCAGAACTGGAAGGAGAAATGGATAACATTAGTTCCCAATGACTTTTAGGCATTAGCCTAACTACTTCCAGTTACAGTTGAGGTCTAAAGAAGTTATGTGACTTGACTAAGAGCAAGTGAGCCATGGTTGGCGATCAGGCCAAGGTTGTAAGATTATACTCCAGTTTTGCTTGACACAGAGTACTATATTAATGTCCTGGGGATAACACTAAGATAAACTGATCCGTGTAGGAGATTTGAATAAAACCAAAAGAGAAATTTGGCTTATTATTTGGTTCAATCTTACAAATGTGCACTTATGAATTGCAGGTTGTATGGCTTATGAGATATCATCCACTCATTCATTCATTCAATGAGCATTTATCAAGTTCCCCCTATGTGCTAGGAAGTGCTAAGTGCTGTGGTTTTAAGTAAAGAGTAGTCTGCCATCATTGAGTTTATACTAAAGTAAATAAATAATTAGTTGATCATGACCATGAGAGAACTAAGCAGGACATTGTGAGGGAAATTAATGGGAGCAGCTGATTTAGATTCAGATGGGCAGAATGGATAGAAAGAGGCCAATGTGGGGAAAGGGACAGTGAAGAGTCTACTGTAAGAGACCAGAGGGAAGATCTTGGTGATTTGGATGAGTGCAGTGGTTCTCAACCTGGGATGATTTTGTACTTCAGAGGACATTTGGCAATGTCTGCAGACATTTTTTGGTTATTACAACTTGGGAGGAAGGTACTACTGACATCTAGTGGATAGAGTACGGGGAAGTTGCTGAACATCCTACAATGCACAGGACAGCCTCCACAACAAATAATTTTCTTGCCCAAATATCAAAAGTTTTGAGGTTGAGGAGCCCACACTAGTATGGTAGCCATGGAGCTACAGAGAAAAAGATTAAAGCAATACTGTATGAAAATGGACTGGATATGGGTGGGGGGAAGTAAGGGAGAAATCAGGGATGGCATTCTGAGTTTCCAGTTTTAATAACTGGATGGAAGGGGCTATGCATATTGAAATGAGAATATTTGAAAGAGGAATTGAGGAGAGGGCAATGCTGTGGCACAGAATAAAGAGTTTGACATGTTGGGTCAGAAATAGTAATTAGAACTGGCTATGTGAATCTGGACTTCAGAGGCAAAATCTGAGCACAAGATAAAATATGGGAACCCTTGGCTTAAAGGCATTTAACATCTAAGAAACATATGACATCACCGAGGGAAAAATGTATAGCAAAGAAGTAGCTCAAAATGAGGATTTTGATCCTAAATCAGCTACACATTCCTACCAGGCTCTAAAAGCCACTTGATCTTATGCTCTCAGTGCCCTGGGTAACATTATAGGTATACTCAAGTATACTCACCACATTCTGAAAACACAGTTTTCATCTGGGTTCCTTAGTTTATTTTAAGCTATTTTTCTTTGTGTCTAGTTATCTTCTTTTTTTGCATCTAATTATCTTCTAAAAATTAAGTAATTTTAAATGGATTAGTTTCTAAGTATGTCATCAGCTCTCATAGGGAGCACAATGTTGCATGCTACTCTACTGCTTTCTTATTAACCACACTGTATCAATTTAAGCTTTAGGTTTGGAGAATGGGGAAAAGACAGTATGCATTCAATTGGGCATTTTTATTCTTAAGAGGGCACTATAAAATGTGAACCAAAAGTGATTAACATAGTCTTTTGAGCAAAAAACAACTACAGGCATATATACACAAAATACAGTCCTTCTAAAAAGCACAAAACAAATTAACAGCAGCTGCTGATCACTCATGAGTAACTCAACACCATGAGCCTGTGTACATGAGCAGTGAAGGGAAGCATTTTAACAAGGAAATAAATTTCAGTTTTAAGCTTTATGGAATTTTACAAATGATACAGAAAAGTAACTTAAGTGTGTCAAGTATCCTTTAAAAAACCTACTTTAGGAAACGCAATCTTTCTAAGATCTCTACCAATCAAAAAGGAACTGTAATAAAGATAATAAAAATAATAAAATTTCCTTAAGTAGTATTGAACCAAGTAGTATGACTATACCATTAATTGAATCAATATTATTAATTCATTTCCCACCAGACAATGTATTTTAATCTCTACCATGTGAGGCATATTTAAACTAGAAATATATGTGTAGATTCACTTAACCAAGAAAGTAATTACCACAAATGAACTAATTATACTGAGTAACAAGATCCTTGGAAAATACATTATATGTAGGAGTTAATATAACACTCCAATGGCGCCATTGTGTTATTATTTTTTTGTTCTCCAGATGAGGATATCAAGTCTTAGACAGTGTGTCAGTCAGTGCGGAACATGTCATGCTACAGTAACAAACAGACCTCAAAACACAACACTGGTTCATTACTGATTTGTCACCAGTTTGTTGCTTGTCTGACAGCTATTCAGAGCAACTCCTCTCCATAAGGTGATTCTGGGATCCAGGCTGATTTCATCTTGTCTCTAGAAACTGTGGCTTTCAGAGTTACTCAGCCAGAAGAAGAGTATGCTGAAGGGCCACATGAGATCTTTCACTGCCTTCCTTTTCATCCAAAAATGGCATATACCACTTCCACTCATATTTTGTTAGCTACCAATGGTCACATGATTAGACCTAACTGAAAAGGTACAGACGTTAATGTGCCTGGGAAGAAGAAAAATGGATATAGATAAGCACTAGCAAGCTCTACTACAGGGAAATAAAGTAAGTTAACCAAGGCAACAAATCTAGAATTAGGTAAAACTAGGATTCAAACACTGTTTGTCCAAAAGCTGACCTAATTTGAGACTTCAGGTTCTCGAGATCTAGGGATGCAATGTTTACTGTCTACTGACCCTGGATGTATCAAGAAAAAATAGACAACTGAACATACTTAACACAGATCTTTAGCCTTCAAAATAAATCCTCTAGCAATCTTTATATTTATTTTCACTCTAAGAAGCACTTAGTAATCAGAATAACTACCCATTTTTGAGCTTTGAAGCATCACTCCTCATCAAGTCTTTCCCAAACTCCTATAATGAGGTTAAATTTCTCCTTTTCTTCATGCACAAAGTACCATTTTTTGTAACTCATCACACTTCTTCACTATGTTTCATCACCGTAGCAGCCATATTCTGGCTGTTTCCAGGGTTTGGCACAATGCCTCCCACAAAGTAGACACTTAATTTACACTGAATGAACCAGTGAGTGATTGAATGAATGGAGTGTCTGACTCCTTTCTGAAGCAGACCATACCATTGTTTGACACTTTCCTGACTTAGCAATGCTCCCACCCACACACACACAAATTGGGTGAAATATACTCTTCTTACTACTTGAGGTATGAACTGATTACCTCCCAGTGGTGGGGTTATAATCTCCTTTGGAGGACAGGTGGTGCATTTTTGCCCATATAGGGTCTTCAGTAAAAAGTGGTTTCTGGCACCACATACAAGGTACTCAGGTATTTGGTGAATGAATGAATGAATGAATCTTAAGATGCATTAGATTTGCTTTGTAATTCCTTCCTATTCTAGGTTGGTATGTCTGTAGACATGTTTTTCAAATAGATTGACTCAGTTTAGATCAGTCCTCCAAAATCCATACTTAGGAGAAAAAAATCTCTATGAATGCTAATGCACAGCTAGCAAACGTTTATATAGAACATTCCCCAGGAAGCTCAAAGGAAATTAAGCCAAAATGATCAAATGCTGATGATTTCCCTAGGGAAGTGTCCTTGTCCTTCTACTGAGAAATAGTCTCCAAACCTACATAGCTAAAATAGCCTGTCTTCCAGGGTCCAAACGTGACAGTCAAAAGAAATCAAGAAAAAAAAAGTGGCGCTGGCAGCTACCTCTTTCCCAGTTCTGCATCTGTAAATGGAAACAATTTTGCAAGAGATTATCTCGGGGTCTGAATAGAAAAGAAGCCACTCTAATCTTATAGTACTGGAGGTTTTCCCTTCTCCTTCTCCTTCTTTTCATCCTTATCAGAGTTAAAACAGGAGCTCTGGTATTCTCCGAAATACTGGCGTCCGAGAAGGCGATTCTCCACCTAGTGATGGGAAGAGTGGTAGTTGGTCATCTCCACGACCCCCTAACAGGGACACAGGGACATTACCATGGAGGCCCGTCTGCCACTCACAGCCCACAGCGGAGACTGCCTCTGTTCCGACTAGTAGATAAGATTTTCTCCGTCTCGAGTATGCAACACTCAATCGACTTTCCAGCAGCACAGCGCAAAGTTGAGGGAAAGGGAGAATGTGCGTGCGTGTGTGCGTGTGTGAGTGTCTGGATCAGTGGTGTTGGGGCGGGCAGTAAATCAAGGGTGGGGCCAGCGACCGGGGGAGGAAAGCAAGGATTGAGAGAGGCAAGAGCGTGGCTCCGATCCCAGTTAACCTGCAAGAGCCCATCCTGCTCGCTCAGAGCCCCTGCACCAACTCACCCAGTACCCTTTCTCCTTCCTCCTCTCCTTCTTTCCCCTTTTCCGCTCCTTCTCTCGCTGGCCCCTCCACCTACCCCCCACTTTCCATCTGACCAGAGGACGAATGAGGAAGACGTGCCCGCAAATTGGGGCAGCAACTTTCCTCAGCTGGTCTCTTGGCTCCGAGAGCAGGAGCGCTCTGATCCTCCGCGGTCTGCGGCCCATGGACGAGGAGGAGGAGGAGCAGTGATGGGCTAGCTGCAGAAGCGAGGAGCCCCGAGCCAGCCCAGCGTCGCCTTCCAGCGCCGCGTTCCCACGCCCGCTCCCTCGATCTCTCTCCGCGGGGAGCGTGCAGGGTGCCGACGCCGAGCCTCCCAGGGAGGATGAGGCAGGGAGCCGGCCCGAGCGGGTTGCATCTCGCGGGCGTGCGGCCGCGGCTGGGTCTCGACCGGAATTAAGAAGCTGGGAAGATGGAGCGCCGCGCACTCCTCGCCCAGCACGGGCTCTGGACCAGGGACGCCAGCTGGGCGCTCGTCTATTTCCTCTGCTACGTCCTCCCCCAGACCGCCCCGCAAGTACTCAGGATCGGTGAGTGAGCCCGGGGGAGCGCTCCGCGCTGCCGGCTCGCGGGACCTGGCCGCTCCCCGCTGCCGGCGCGGGCGCGGCGGGTCGCGGGGAGGCAGAGCGCGCCGGCGCAGGGGCAGAGTCGAGGGTGGCGAGGGCAGCGCGCACAGGAGGCTCCGAGAAAGGGGAAGCCGCGTCACCGCTGCCCTCCTGGCGAGTGCCGGGCTTCCCCGCGAGGGACGGTTGGCGGGTTTTTCAATCCGGGCTCCAAGAACGCGGGCAGGAGTGCAGGGAGCCAAGCTCGCCCGCGCGGGCACCCTCCTCCTGGCGCGGGGTCTCGCGGCTGCCGCCAGTTGCTTTGGGTGCGGAGATGCGCTCTCCGGGCTTCTGGGTGGACGTCGGGAGGGCCAGATGCGCAGCCAGGTCCCTGGCAACCCGGATGCCTGGTACTCACAGGCATGTCCAGATGTCAAGAGTAAAATTCGGGGACCACAGGGATTTCCCAGAACCTGCTCACCCCGAGTCTCCAAGTTTTCGTCCCCAAGTTGAGTTCTTCTACATGGAGCCTCCAAAGTCTGGAGGGTTCCACCAGAGTGGGGCAGAGCCCGGCTCTGACTCTATGGCTGAGAGTTCAAAGAGTGGAGAGGATAGTCAATCAGCACCAAGAGCAGGTACATAAGTGTCCCACTTGACCCCCAATCTGCCAGGCCTGCCTGCCACTGAGAATGATCCCGTCAAGATAACTCCCTGGAAGACTCTGGACTTCTGTCTCAGGTGGGATAGAAATGGACTGGAAGGCTGAATGTAGGAACCCTGGGGCAGCCTAAAGAGAGCGAAAGGCAAGGACAATAGAAGAGGTGGGGAGGGGGGTACTTCGCTAGTGTGTGGATTCATAGACCTACATGCACAGCACCCACCACCATGGTTTAGTGGAAGCACTGAGCAATTTCTAGACTGTTTTGGGGGGGGGTGTTCAAAAAGCTCTTTGCCTTCTTTAATATTCTCCTTTCCACACTAAATCCAATTTCTATTCCCTTAGTCTCAGCTTGTCCTCCCCCTTCCCCAACCAACTGTGCTTCTTAGAGACATGAAGAGAGAGAGCCACAGGTGAGGCTCAGACACCTGATGGGTCTCCCAGCTTTTCCAGTCTCCCACTTGAGGTAGCAAGAGTGAAGTCCTGAGCTCTAAGGGCTTCTAATTCACACCCTTTCCAGGAACCCACAGAACATGCACAGAACAGTGCAAGCACTGGCCAAGTGATGCCCCTGAGCAGCTGAAATTTCTCAATCACTTTACTGATTCTGACCTGAAATTAGCAAACCTCTTTCCAAAGATTCAGAAACTAGTTCTTGTCATTCAACATTACTGTTTTGTTAAAAAAAAAAAAAAAAATAGAAGTTACTACCCTGAAATGCATTTTCGCTAGGCAGGTGGGATCTAATTTTTAAGAAAAGAAAAGATACCTAATACTAATTTTTACTGCAGATATATTTTTCTAGATTATGGATAATGATAATGTGCATTTTTGGATAATTTAGATGGTCCATTAAAAGAGTTCCAAAGTATTCCTTTCACGCACACACACACACGCAGTACCACTCATAACTAAAATATCCTTCACCTTAGCTATGTTCTAGTCTTAATATCTTGATTTTTTTTTCCTGGATGCAGTCAACCCTCCATGATCCAATAACACATTCCTTTGAACAATACTAAATAAGTGATGAATGTATGTTACAATTTCCAACACTTATTAACTTAATTGGTGTTTTGCTTATACCTTATATATTTTAAAAGAGACAAATCTAGACATCCTAGAACAGGCTATACCAGCCAATAGCCCTCCTTCCTGTATAACAAACTTAAGGTAGCATTTTCCTTGCTTGCATTCCCCAAATCTAAAGGAATTCCCAGAAGGAGTGGAAGAGGGTGTTTTAAAACATATTTGTTCACAGATCTGAGTATTTATCCAAGCAATTATACTCATCCATTTAAAAGTGGTTTTCAAAGTGAAAACATCCCAACATGATTCACTGACCTTAAAATATATGGTACAAGATAATGAGATTTCCTTTTTCTAAATGGGAGCTGAAATGCATAAAGTAAAATTGCATGGCCTGATGCTGTTTATGTGCAATACAAATGTCTTAACTCCTTCTGGCTCTGAGTGACCTGTGGTTGGCATGAGCACTACCCTTGTATATACCTCAGGACTATGCTTACTTTTAAATGGACATTTCAGCACCATGGAAACCAGCCTTAGCTCAGAGGAAACCTGCCTTTTTACAGGGAGTTTCTTATGTCAGCCAAGTCCAACAATGAATACAAAATATCAAAGGGGTTAGGGACTAAGCTAGTGTGTGAAGTGTGTGTATGTGTGTGTGTGTGCGTGTGTGTAGGGAAGGAAAGAGAAGAACTGAAATGCATTCTTTTTCATCTCTCATTTTTTTTCTCTTTCCCACAAACCATGAACTATCCAACCAACCAGAAAAAGGGGCCCTTGATTATTGACTTCCATGTTTTCCAGTAACTTAAAATATCCAACGTATAGCATTAATCTTAGGCACTTTGCACTGTTTATATGAAAAGGCACTTGAAGGCTTGAATGAATTAATTAGCAGTCTACTTTGCTTGTGAGTGTCTGCTTAAACTTGAGCTATTGAGGAAAGTGAATGAAAGGTATAAAATTTAAGATAAAGTCATGTGTGCTAAATATTGGAGAGGTCATTTAGTATGCATATTTGCATGGTTCTCACACATATTGTGCATATCTGTTGAAAAGTTTAACCAACCTCAAACCACAGTTTAGAGAAATAAAGGAGGTCCTATAGGATGGAGATGCTCTAAATGTTACCACTGCACTCCAGAGATTTCCAGCACCCTGCATGGAAGAGAAATATGGCTAGCCACTGGGAATTCCCTAGGAGATTCTGGGTCTTCCTCTCTGTATATTTCAGTGTACCATAAAAACAAGTAAATTTCCACCCGCCCCCCCACCACACACACACTTGAGCTTCAGAGTCACATGGCCAGCAAACCTGTAACTAATAGTTACAGCAGCTGGGTGAGCTGAGTAGACAGTGGCACACCTCCATTAGTGGAAATAAAAAGGAAAGGAAAGGAGAAAGGAAAGGAAAGGAAAGAGAAAAGAAAAGAGAAAAGAAAAGAGAAAAGGAAAGAAAAACAATACCATGTGCATATGTAATTTCTGGGACATATGTATCCTATTTCTAATAGTAATCCTAACAGAAAGATATATTTACATCCTATATTTTTACATATCATCTCAATATACACAGTCATAGAGGTGGTGGTAAAAGCATAGAGTTAGGAGTTAAGTGGTGGAAACCAGGCTTTCTGACACATGATTTGTTGTCACAAAGCACAGGTTTGGTTCCCCTTTCCAAGACTTACTAGATAGGTCAGCGAGAGTTATTCAGTCTCACCAAGTCTTCATTTTGCATCTGAAAAATCCAACTAAAACAATTGCAACCTCACAGTGACATTGGTAAGAGTACATGAAATAGAATATGAGAGTGTTTGGAACAGTATGTGGATACATTAGTTCCATTATAATTGTTTTATTCTTTTGTTTTCACTTTTTTTCATTATTAACATTGTATTCTTGAACAGGGACTCAGTAGTAAATGTGGTATATTTCTGTTACACATTTAATATTTCTGAGCCCAAATCTCTTCTTCTGTGAATTAGCCGTAATGATATCTGCCTTTCCTATTTCAAAGGGAGAGATCAAATAAACAATTTTTGTGACTTGCAAACCATTAAAAAATATATTACTATTATACAATTAAATATAGCATATAAAGAGAAATATTGTGGGAATTTATATGACTAGCGTGGAAAGTTAAATGACAATATAGTCGTCCAAATGCTCTTATTTCCTTAAGAGAGATCCAAATGGATTTTACTTAATTATCAAGTAGGCCATAACATCATTTTTTAATATTTAACCCTCAGGATCCCCCAAATTCTAAACTTTGTTGCGTACATATTTGTTTGCATTTTTGTTTCCATGTACAAAAACTCACAACTTTATTCTTTAGTCACGAATTCTTTCATCATTTTAATATTCATTCTTCACTCAACAAATATTTACTACATGCTTACTCCCCTACCATGAGCCAGACATAATTTTAGATGCAGAACATACAACAGTGAACGAAACAGACAAACACATCTTACCCCTTGAAGCTTATATCCTGGTGGTGTACACTGTATATAACCACTGAACTTCTTCATCAGGCCCAATGCAGACACTTGATATTTTCATTCCAAATGTTATTCTTAGAGAGTTTTCAGTTCATTTCTGCCATTGATTTATTACATCAACGGCATAGTCAACATAGAATAAGTTCAAGCCCCCAAATACACAGAGGACAGATAGAGTGGGTTCATTCTGCCAAACCTGTAGCAGAAACTCCTACCTTTGTTGGGGGAGATCTGTTTGGCCTCAGGTAGACCTGTTTGGCCTCAGGTAGATTTCACCCAGACAGAGCAGGGTGATGTTGGTCCTAACATCAACTTGAGAACGCCACCGGTCCTTGAAAAACCTGAGAAACTGTCTTTTAGCATGATGAAAAGAGAGTTCCTGGCTAATGCGAACATATTTCTGCAGATGAAGAACTCTATTATCATATTATTTTATCTGCATAATTCATCTTTTTTCTTTAATATTAATTTTACAAGCCCAATGCTTATACTATGTTAAACGTGGACTGTGGCTACATTTCCTATATGGTTTCTAATCTCCTATTTTCAATGAAAACACCATGACTTGGTAGCTTTGCCTAAGTTCAAGTGCTAGTTAGTAGAAATGACAGAATTTGAAGCTAGCTATTCTGTTCTCAAGTTTTGAGCTCCTTGCATTAAAGTATGCAGTATTGTGTTTGGACTTATCTATGCAGTTACATAACTGTTTAAGCTGAAATCAAATATAAGAAAGATGAACTGTTTCTCTTAGTGACTCAAGGATAACCACATAAATCAAAGTTAAAGTAATTTAT